GGTGGCAGAGCGGTGGGCGGCGGCGGGAAGCAGGCGGCGGACGACATCTTATGATGTAAGGCGAACGGCAATCTGCGGTGGAAGGGGAACGGGATCCTGCAGTGGGAGGAGGGCGGTTCCAACGGGCTAGGCAAAGGTTTATTTTGGTTTTTTAAAAACAGGCAAAAATATGTTTTATTCTGTTTTTAGTATTTTAAAAATAGATTTGTTTTCACAAAAAATTAAAAAAAAAATTAGAAATAATACAAAAAACAGATACGCAAGTATTATTTGTATGTTTGTTTCCAATTTTTTATTTTCAAAAAACAAAAATTGATCCCAAACAGCCCCTAAACCAGTATCACAAATAATATGGTTTTAAGTTAGCAAACTCTATAACATACTCTTTTTTATATATTGTATTAAGGTATGTCAAAGGTTTGCTAGTTCGCTGCAAGTTCCTTCACGAGCACTTAAAAGTCTACATACAGTATGAAAGGAACAATAGCTTCGGCTTCTACAGTAATCTCAAATTTAAGTAACGATATCATTCAACTAGAAGAAATTGATATCTGAAGAAACTGTATGTAGGAAGGAGTTAAATAAGTACCAGAGTCTTTGATGCTTTCCCAAAGAAAGCAGAAATGATCCCCTTCCTTGATCCGGGATCCAACCCAACCCACCAATCAAGACAACCCTTCATCCTCCAAAATACATTTGCCGCCTTTCCTGCGACCTCTGCCGCCCTTTCCTTCAACCTCTTCTCCTTGGGCTTCTTCCCCGCTTGCGAACTAATCCAAGCCAGCCTCAGGGCCACCTCAAGTCGATTCGCTACAAATGCTTCCAAGCTGTAATACCCCATATCCTTCAGCCATGGAAGCTCCACCCATTGCACAGTGAGACCCACCATCTCTACATCCTCACAGAGAAACCTCCCGCCAGATAGTCCATCCATAACACTAACGAAACGGTCAACATCTATAACAAGGGACTCGGAGACGGTTAGTGCGTCCGCCAGATTGACACCAGACGAACCGGAAGTGAAAAAAAGTAGGGAGTCGGACAGCAGCAGGGCGGAAGAGTTGGATGCCGCGGAGCGGGCGATGAGCCCACGAGAGGGGCGGAAAGACAGAGATGGGAGGGATGGGTTCGAAGGGGAGGAAGAGGGGAGGTCGGGAAGGAGGATGAAGCGCGAGTGACCTTGGCTGCGGAGGCGGGACTGCATCTGGAAAAGGATTAGAAGAAATGAGGAGTCGAAGACAGTGAGAACAGCCTGGCGCTGATCGGGAGAGAGAGAAGAGAACCAGCGGAGGACGAAGGCGCGAGGATTAGAATCAGGACTAGGGCGATGGTTGGAAATGCGAGAATGGTAGATCGCGAGGTGATCAGTGAGAGAGTGAACCAGGCGCTGTGAATCGGAAGCCATTACTAGGGATTTCTAAAAGCAGAATGGATGGGCGAAGAAGCAGAATCGATTGAAGAGGAGAAGGAAAGAAGTTGCTCGTGGACCGAGCAGGGTAACAGTGGCGTTAAAATATAAAAAAATACTTTTTACAGAAAAAAATACATATAATATTCTTATAATTTCTGATTATTTTAAAATTAAGCTCTTATAATTCTATAAAATATATGAACTATTTTAACTGATATTTAAATAACATAAGAATAATTTTCACACTTCTATAAATTGTGAAACTAAAAATATTATATATAAATATTTAGAGATTATTTTAGTACTTTTATAACATATCGTTAGTCTTTGTTCGGTGATTTTTAGTCGTGAATCACACTTCTACTCCATTATGCTTGTTGGTTTCATCGACAACTTTCATGAACTCCCACGACAGGGCTCTCTTACTTGCAATTAGTTGGTTCAATTTACATAATTCCAATAGAGTGTTCAAGCGAAAAGAACAATTTATTTTAGCACTTCTTTTATTCCCACTTCCCACAAAATCTCTCATATTGTTTGTGTTGTGAAAAACGACGGCAATAAAGCGAAAAACTGGATTGAGAAAAATCGCAAAACAGAAAAACACAGTGAAACACACAAATTTACATGGTTCGACAAATTGCCTACGTCCACGGAGCTATAGTGGATTTTATTAGCATGAAGATTACACATGTCCATCGCATTGACGATTACAAGAAAGAACAATTTCTCCTCTCTCCTCTCGAGAGTAACAATTGAAGAAGATTACTGGCAAACAAAATCCCGAGAGAGATAAGAAGAGAGTTAGTATGTTTATTTATTAATTTCATCATGTCATTTGACCCATTAAGAAATTAATCAAATAATTAATGAAGCACATTAATTATTTACTTTTCTCTTGTGCAGCAAATCATAGAATGAATTAAGATCAATTAATTTCGAGTATTAAATCCAATTTGCTGTCAAACATGAGAAAATGTCAATTTAAACAGTGGACCGATTTGCAACAGGTGTTCTGACAATGTGTCCCTTAAGCGAGGTCTCAAGAACATTGTGGCTTGATTTTAAGTTCGCACTCAAATTCAAACATGATTCAAGCTATGTCCAAATAAAGCATATAAAGTTTGGGTTTAAATAAAGTTCAAACTTACATAAGTTTGAAATCATCTCAAAATTCTTAAATATTTATTTTATTTTATTTTATTCCGATTTTATCTTTTGAGAAAAGAAACCAGAGCTACTATCAAAAACAGACCAATAAATATTTTTATATTATGCATGTGAACATTAAAATAAGTCAAAAAATAAAAAAAAAAAGAGAGGCTTAAGAATATTGAAATTTTAATTAAAATTTAATTATATCAGTTAATATTAAAATGAGAACATAATCATAATTTTTTTCCCTTCAAAAATCACAAACCGCAATTTAAAAATCGAAAACAGGCAACAACAACAATCTAATGAGAGCATAGAAATATCTTCAACCATATTATAGCTTTTGGGGTCACTTCAGTTATTTAATTTTTATTTTTATTTTAAGAAAATTATTTTTAATATATTTTTAAGTGTATTTAATTTTATTTTCAAAAAATAAATTAAGTTATTTTTAAAAGCACTTAAAACAATTAAAAATTATTTTGAACATTTTTAAAAACAAACATACATAATATATTTTATTTCAAGATGATACTTGAATAAAATAAAAAAAATAATCAAACATTAAAGTAATTCCAAACGACAAGGCCTATTAAAAAAACATGTTATTCGTGAGCGGCTCTTGTTCGGCTTGTTAAGTAGCCTTTGTTCAAACTGTTCATTAAGCAAGCAAGTCAAACATGAACCATAATTTTGTTTGATCGAGTTTGGCTTGTTCTAGCTCAAAATAAAGAAATTATATATATTATTTATCTAATAATATATTATACATATTTTTACTATGTTTAAGTTTAACTCATAACAACTCATTTGGTCATGCGGTCCAGTGTCTTCTATCGCACATAAATGGCGCAGTCAACACCTTACATCTACTTTTCTAATTAATTTAAACAAGACAATTTTCAGCAGAAAAAAAAACAATAATATGTAAATTAACCAGAAAACGAAAACATTGTTAATAAGCAATTTCAAACACGAGTCAATGTCAAACACAGTTAATTTCGAACGAGCCTGACACGGTGTTTACAGCAAAAACAATAATATGTAAATCAACCAGAAAACGAAAACATTGTTAATGAGCAATTTCAAACACGAGTCAATGTCAAACACGGTTAATTTCGAACGAGCCTGACACGGTGTTTACAGCCCTACAAACAGCTCCCAAGTCATCCCATTATATTCATGGTTGAACATCTCACATGGTGAACAATATTTTAACATAATTACTACAAGTAACAACTATAAAGTTAGTTTAAAATAACATTATAACAATGATCATAACATTATAGACAGGCCAATGAAATAAAGCCTCAGCCTTTCTAATAGAGAAGGCCTATAAAATCTACAGCCTAACAAAGCTGTGAAACAGTAACTACTGCAGATAGAAGATTCATAGCAGCATTAATAAACGCCTTGTAAGGGAGACACAGGTTGAAGAAACTGTTAGTCAAATCCAGAAGCAAAACCTGATATATATATATATATATATATAAACATATAAATACATATTTTATTTAAAAATTGAAAAATTTACAAAAATAGCACAGAATTCTTAAGTATTTGCATATCTCCCTCATCTTAACTTTCAAATTTACATATAGAACATGTGTTTCAATACTATGCATAATCTCATTTTTAAAAAGTGGTAATAGTGAGATTGCCCCATTAAAAATATTCAAAAATTGATTTATTTAATTATATGAATAAATTAATAAAATTAAGAATCAAATAAAGAAGCAGAACCTGATGAAATCTACATCCATGAGTTCTCCATCTCATCAGCAGCTTCAGAAATCGGATCAAAATCATCATCTGCAGGAATATGATCATACCCATCCCAATCCTCAGAAAAGTTCACATCTTGATCTTCTTTTGAGTTGGATTCCTTCCCCTCTTCCTGGAAGCAGTAAATAATGGCAGATAGATATAAGGATTATGAGATAGTTGAGGAAAACTTTTGAGCCTATGGGGTAGGACACGGATTTGAATGATTAAAGACCTCATTTTGATCTGCTTCGTCTTGCGATTGGGCGGTGGTAGGATCGCCTGCCTCGTTTTTAGATTTCTGCTCTGCCATTGTCTGCAAATGCTGAATGGCCTTCTCAAAGTGTGAATGATCTACATACAAAATGAAATGTAATTACATTTGCAGAAACAAAAAGTATACATATGAATTCCTATTTATTTACATATCTAACAATCAGACTTCGCTTTTTACACTATGTCACCTAAATTTTTCATAACACAAAATAAATATAACTATTTTAATTTTTAAAAAGTGAAAAATATCTTTTTATGCACAGGTAAGATGGTATGTATGTAAAAAATGAAGTTTAGGAGTTTGGTAAATACATAGAAGTTTAATGAGGGATGTAATTTGAACTGTAAGAGGAACATGAATAGAAACCTTTGCTGCGATGCACTAAAGCATCGGCGATTTGCAGAGGATGTTTGCGCTGCTCATTCTTGAATTTTGCTTTTACTTGTTGACGGCTTCGAGTAGGAAAGAGTAGTTGTATCATTGCAAAATCAGTTCCAAATTGTCTGATAGCCTGATGCAATATCCAAAAAAGGAAACAGAAAACCAAATCTTTCATAAAAAAAAAAGTTTTTGAAGATGACATTTTATAAAGCTTTTGAAGATGAGTGCAATGCAGCATAAAATGCTTTCCGAAAAGTTCCGAGTAATCTAATAATTCTCTCGTACATTATTAATGCTGTAAAATTTATTAAAGCAGCATATTTGTCAAATGGTTATAATACCTGGTAGAAAAATTCAGTGTCTGTTTTTGACCATCGATTTTGGGGTGGCCGTCTCATGTAGGAATGATAATTCAATCTTGGGACCTCTGGTTGAATGTCTCTATTTTCATCATCACCATTTAGTTCTTGCTCTTTCTCCACACTGCGATATTATTTTTCATTAAGATGGATTTTCTTCTGAGAGTAAAAACTGTGCATAAATTTTACAAGTTTAAGGCCAAAACTACAAGGGAATATTAGAATTAAAGTTCATTTGATCTGTCCTAATCTTCCTCTAATGAAGTAATGTTGGGAATAGAATTTTTCATGCAAGTCATAGTCAGATTTAAGTAAATTTTCTAGGCAAATCAATTAAACACATCAAAAACCTAACAAAAAAACTCTGGATTCAGCCATTAGACTGGTGAGGGATTGCAACTGAAGATATGCATGAGAACCATGCAAGCAGATGCAAAGGCTGTGGCATATAAAAGCCATATGTGATATTTAGCTGAAAGAAAATGGAAATATAACACATTTTATTTCATTTTTGTAATTCCAAATAACAAAATTGACTAGATATAGTTTAGCTTTTAGGCATATAATTGTAGCACTTTCATTAACTTCTCCTTTTTTAACTAACCATGGTAAATACCAAAGAAACATAAAGTTTTAAGTGGATTAATTAATGTTTCTTTCTAAAAAAAATATTGCTCATATTCTCTAGCTCCTCTTCTGCCATTACCTATGAATAAGTTCATTGATATTAACTTTTTAAGTCATTAAATGTACACAAATTTTGTTATCATTTCATTCATTATTAATTTTCAATATAGATCGCATATAGATGCTTCTAAGAAAATTAAATGTTGGTTGAGGTAGTGCTGGCTAGTCCCCACTCCTCGGCTCAAGGCCTGAGGCACCAACACTAAGGCAATATTATTTAGTCCAATATTAATTGAATAGTCATGAGTAAACATGAAAATAAATGTATTTCATAATTTTTATGATCTATTTGCTTCAAATAATTCAGATAGATCATTATTTGTTGTTTTATACATAATTCAGTGGAAATAACATAAATGTAGGCCACAAATTTAGGAGCAAGGAGCTTATCATGCTATTGGGTGTAAGTGATTTTATCATCATACCTCTGGTTGTCAAAAAGGTTTTTAAAAACAGCTTCTACTTTATTCTGCAAAATAACCATAAATTACTATTAATAAATAAGAATCATTATCACCGGCAAACTATTAGACGATATTAAAGTATTACAAATTATATGACGTACTGATAATCGTTCCTTAAAACCCGCAAGCCGGATGAGATCCCTTATAGCAATTTGTTTTCTATCCAGTTCATCATCAGGTATATCCAGCAAGGCCTTATTCACTGTAGATGAATGAATTAATGGATTGAAAAGAAGGGGCATTTACATGCATGGCACATAATTCTTCTGAATTTACATATCTCAAACTCAAACTTTCATAGTTACAAACATAGCACTCAAATCCTTGATATCACATCAAAAAATAACCCTATTGCCACTTTTTAAAAGTGAAATTCACCTTTTCATGGATAGATTTAAAGCACCAAAAGTGTTATGTATGTAAATATGAAACTTAAGGCGTGAGATATGTGCTATGTATGTAAAATTCCCTAAAAAGAGATAATCCAAAAACCTGCACTAATTGTTAAGACTTGAGGTTCAAAAGTTACTCTCATACCTTGCCTCTTTGTTCTTTTACATCGACTACTACCATGCGGAAGCTTTTTCTTTGGAGTATGAGAAGCTTCAACTGTTGACCCAGGTTCTCCTGCAGCCTTTTCATTACTCTCGATTGGATTTTCCTGTTCGCGGCTTTTCTTGCTTGATCTTTTTGGAAGCTTCCACCTCTTTTGCTTTGGCATACTATTATCATTGTAACCTTCACCATCATAATCATCATCCATTTCTGAGACGGTATTTTCACCATCATGAGTTTTACAGGAAATGTTTTCCTCACTGGTTTTTAACTTCTTATTCCGTTGACGAGTCTTCCTTGATGATTGTCCAGTGTCATCATTTGGCACAATATTAGGCGTTGAATCTTCAAGGTTTGGTTCTTCAATATGCTTGCATTTGAAATGTATAGCCAATATATCATAAGGACCAATCAAATTTTCTTGGGAAATTTACATACATAGTGAACAATTCTTATGTATTTACATATCTCACATGAACTTTCATACAGAATAGATAGCACTTTGGTACTTTAAACCTATGCATGAAAATGTGCATTTGACTTTTAGAAAATGGTAATAGTGCTATTTTCGATTTAATACTAAAGATTTGATTGCTATATGTGTGAACAAGAAAGTTTAGGTGTGAGACATGTATATAAGAATCCCAATTTTCATCTCAAGAATACCCAAAAAAAAAAAAATCTTTTACACAATTCACAATGATACGAGTTTACTAGTACAACTCACATTGGTTGTTTGCTCTGTTTCCATGGAAGGAAGATCCTCATTTTCAACGAGAGATTGAGCTTCTAAATCAATAATATTTCCACAGCAAACCCTCTCTTCGATTGAGTGGGCTGGAGAACAGTTCTGAGCCTTAACTTCCAATGATTCATTTAGGCCATCCGCAGAGAAGCTAAGACCATGAAGATCTGAGAATTCATCATGTAGGGGGAGAGACTCCAACTCTGAAAATTCTGAAACGACATCAACATAGTTAACCAATATGTATTGAATCAAATCTAGAGGATCTAAAATTAAGAAGTCATAGATTACCAAAATTTGATTTTGCACCTTTTGTCATGGACGGGGGTTCTGATTGATGATATTAGAAGATAAAATAGTCATTCCGATAAAATAGAAGAAGAAAAGCACAAAATAAAAAAGTTCAAAGCTTTTAATTAGAGAATGGTCCTTTTAAAAGTCACTTACCATCTGCAGCATTGTGAAATTTCGAGGTGGAAAATGGGCTTTCAGAAGCTCTACATTTTGAAGGCTTAGGTTGATTACGGTTGTTGATAATGCGACACTTGGGATTAAATTTACTAGATCTTTCTGCAACTGAATTTAATGGAAAATTTAACCAGCAAGAAGAAGAAAAGGAGTAACAAATACAACTTTTCATGCATAGGAAAGGTGGAATGTATGTATAAATTGAAGTTTAGATATCAGACAAGCAAATACATCAGAATTGAGCGGTATGTATGTAAATCTTCCACAAAATTAAAATGTGCAAATTTTAAATTACCTGCGGTTGTAACAGTTGCAAGGATATCATCCCCTAAAACAGAATCAGAATGCAAGGTCTCTGCAACTCAATGTAAAAGAAAAATGTCAATGTTCAAAATCATATGATCTGTCCCAACCCAAAAAGAAAGCAACCAGAGAAAGCTATTGCATTACCAGTCATGGTTTCAGGTTGAAGAAATAAATCATCATCCAAATCCCGCATAGGAAACATGAGAACTGCAGAGTGGCAAAAATCATTCCTTATTGAAAATATAAGGAAATTTATGATTGGTTAGTGGTATATGGAATGCTCAACTAACATCATCAATGAATTTAAGGAGGATTTAACCAGAATCCAGCCAAAAAGATTACAGCTTCAAATCCTACGGACTTTTAAATCCCGGTTTCTCCTCCGTTTTGCCCTGAATCCCCGATTTTTGGTCAATCCTGTTGGAGTGGCAGTTTGGTTGCCGGATTTTTGCAGTATTTAAACTAAATCCCATACACAGCACCCAATTCTTATGCATCTACGTATCTCACACCAAAACTGTCACGTTTACAAACCCAGCACACAATTCACACTTTTCAACAGTGTGGAACAGTGAAATCCACATTTTCATGCATAGCTAGAGTGCTGCGTTTGTAAAAATTTAAGTTTTGGTGTGTGATGCGTAAATGCATACGAATTGGGTGCTACGTATGTAAAATTCCGATCTTTAAAATCCTACAGGTTATTAAATCCAGCTTTTCCTCCGTTTTTCCTTTAATCGAGGATTTAATAAATCCTGTTGGAATACGGAGAAGCTGAAGCGCGCGAATGTGGGGGGTGAGGAAGGGGGGGAAAGACGAGGGTTACCTTCCTTAATGGGTTCTGGTAGGAGCCGAACGGGGAGGAGTAGAAAGATGGGAGTTTCGGAGGTCTTCGTATGCCGCGATGCCGTCGTTGCCTTCCCAGTTAGTTCTAAGGCGGGACGGGTAGCGGGGCTCGTCGGCAAGGGTTTCGGGGGAGGAAGATGAGCTTGTGGCGTTTATTTAGTTTATTGAAGATCATTTAATTTATTAATAAATGATAGGGTAATTAATAAAAATGTTAATGGCGTGATTTTATTGGGTAGGCACGCTACGTGCATAGTACTGATGTAATATTTTTTCCTTTTCAACAGTGTGGAACAGTGAAATCCACATTTTCATGCATAGCTAGAGTGCTGCGTTTGTAAAAATTTAAGTTTTGGTGTGTGATGCGTAAATGCATACGAATTGGGTGCTACGTATGTAAAATTCCGATCTTTAAAATCCTACAGGTTATTAAATCCAGCTTTTCCTCCGTTTTTCCTTTAATCGAGGATTTAATAAATCCTGTTGGAATACGGAGAAGCTGAAGCGCGCGAATGTGGGGGGTGAGGAAGGGGGGGAAAGACGAGGGTTACCTTCCTTAATGGGTTCTGGTAGGAGCCGAACGGGGAGGAGTAGAAAGATGGGAGTTTCGGAGGTCTTCGTATGCCGCGATGCCGTCGTTGCCTTCCCAGTTAGTTCTAAGGCGGGACGGGTAGCGGGGCTCGTCGGCAAGGGTTTCGGGGGAGGAAGATGAGCTTGTGGCGTTTATTTAGTTTATTGAAGATCATTTAATTTATTAATAAATGATAGGGTAATTAATAAAAATGTTAATAAATTCAGTAAAATTAAATAAATTTACATGTAATTATTTAATTAATAATTAATAAAAATATAATTTAAAATTAATTAATTTTATATAATTTAAATAATGATTAATTAATTTAATAACTGATTAGTTAAGGCGCTATTTGGGATCAATTATTTTTTTTTTCAAAACAAAAAATATGAAACAAATAAAAAATAAGGTTTGCTTATTTTTTAAATATTATTTAATTAATTATTAATTATTAAGTTATTATTTAATACAATTATTTTCAATTTAATAATAATTAATTTTTTCAATAAATGTTTAAATATTTATTAGCACAATCAAAAATAAAAAATTTTAATTTAATTTAATTAGATTTAATAATTATATTATATTATTAATTTGCTATACTAAATTTTTAACACTTAAAAACATTTATAAATCATATGATTGTTTATGAAGGCTTGTTTTTGAAGTGCGAGATTTTTGTTGGTTTCGTATGTTTAGTTAACATAATTGAGGTTAAATTTATTTCATTTAATTAAAAATTAATTAATGATTAATTAATTGATACATTATTTTATAAGCTACTTTTAATTTTATTAATTTATATACAATTGACCTAAGCTTGATACATAGTTAATTTATGATTAATTAATAAAAATAATAAATTATTAAAATTTGATTAATTAAATAAAATTTAAAATAATAAATGGTTACTAAATATTAAAATGCTAATTAATTGTAATTTA